TCAACTCGAATTCCCCCCCCCCCCCCCCCCCCCCATTTCTCGATTCTTGACTCCCGAGGTGCACGCGTCAAATGCGCGCCCCGGTTTCAATTTTTTCAGCACCCCCACCCAATTTCAATTCGACCCACACCTTCCCAACCTACACGCCACTCATCTCCTCCTCCTCTCACGCTACCTGAGGAGCCTCCTAAGTAGTAAAGCCGCCCCAGCTTAAACTGGGATTTACTAGCAGCTGCAACTAGGCTTATTTTTTATAATCAAACCCTAAACCCTAAACCTTAAACCCTAAACCCTAAACTCTAAACCCTAAACCCTAAACCCTAAACCCTAAACCCCAACCCTATGTCGAAATATGTTATTCATATTTATATAATTGTCTGTAGTGTTAGTGTAGTTATGTTTCCCGTTTGGTGGTGCACCTCATTACCCTAGTTCTTGCCTATATCTTTGTACCTTTGCTCTTTATTGAACCCTTCTTCTTCACTCTCGACTTTTCAACATTCTCGATACTCAATTCACTTGACCTCCTAAACCATGGCTCCTAAGCCCACCTTTGTCTAGCCTTTCCACACCCTAAACCCTAAACCCTAAACCCTAAACCCTCAACCCTAAAACCCTAAACCCTAAACCCTAAACCCTGTGTCAGAGGTCCACTGGTGATCCCCGATCGATCCTAGGGAAGTGTTACAGGCATGTTGGCCTGGGGGGTTATGGGCGCACTAACCCGCTACTTAACAAGCCCTTTTATCCCAATGGTCTAGTGGTTGGGATTCTGGCATGGTATCAGAGCGGTCTCGGGTTCGAATCCCGGTGTATGCACTTCGGGCATCCCAGTGCGGGGGGGTGTCAGAGGTCCACTGGTGATCCCCGATCGATCCTAGGGAAGGGTTACAGGCATGTTGGCCTGGGGGGGTTATGGGCGCACTGACCCGCTACTTAACAAGTCCTTTTATCCCAATGGTCTAGTGGTTGGGATTCTGACACCCTAAACCCTAAACCCGGGTCACGTGGATGCACTTGTCTGGGCCTTTTGCCAAGCCAGCAAGGGCATGGGATGGTTACGAGCATCATCGGTCATCGGCGCTCGCGAATGAAGAGCGCCCGCTGCACTTCCTGCACATGTGCGGATCCTTCCGGGTTTTGGGGCTGGACGCGCTCGTTCCGAGCGTTTTTCTTCCGCCGGGTTACGTGGCTGCGCTTGTCCGGGCTATTGCCAAGCCAGCAAGGGTGTGGGAGGGTTGCGAGCATCATCGGTCATCGGCGCTCGCGAATGAAGAGCGCCCGCTGCACTTCCTGCCCATGTGCGGATCCTTCCGCGTTTTGGGGCTAGACGCGCTCGTTCCGAGCGTTTTTCTTCTGCCGGGTCACGTGGCTGCGCTTGTCCGGGCTATTGTCAAGCCAGAATGGGCGTGGGAGGGTTGCGAGCATCATCGGTCATCGGCGCCCGCAAATGAAAAGCGCCCGCTACACTTGTCAGAATCCCAACCACTAGACCATTGGGATAAAAGGGCTTGTTAAGTAGCGGGTCAGAGTGCGCCCATAACCCCCCAGGCAAACGCGCCTGTAACCCCCCGTAGGATCAATCGGGCATCCACAGTGCAGATCTACTAACACACCCCCACACTGGGAGGCCCAGGACTGAGCACAGCGGCAACGGCCTACATGTGCATACACCGGGATTCGAACCCGAGACCATTCTGACACCATGTCAGAATCCCAGTCACTAGACCATTGGGATAAAAGGGCTTGTTTCAGTAGCGGGTCAGTGCGCCCATAACCCCCCAGGCAAACACGCCTGTAACCCCCCCTAGGATCGATCGGGGATCTCACAGTGTAGCTCTACTGACAACACTTCCTGCATAGGTGCGGATTCTTCCTCGTTTTGGGGCTGGAAGCGCTCGTTCCGAGCGTTTTTCCGCCGGGTCACGTGACAGCGCTTCTCTAGGCCTATTGTCAAGCCAGCAAGGGTGTGGGAGGGTTGCGAGCATCATCAGCCATCGGCGCTCACGAATGAAGAGCGTCCGTTGCACTTCCTACAGACGTGCGGATCCTTCCGAGTTGGGGCTGGAAACACTCGTTCCGAGCATTTTTCTTCCGCCGGGTCACGTGGTTGCCCTTATCTGGGCCTATTGCCAAGCCAGCAAGGGGTGGGAGGGTTGCGAGCATCATCGGTCATCGGCGCTTGCGAATGAAGAGTGCCCGCTGCACTTTCTGCACATGTGCGGATCATTTCGCGTTTGGGTGCTGGAAGCGCTCGTTCCGAGCGTTTTTCTTCCTCCGGGTCACGTGGCTGCGCTTTTTTGGGCGTATTACCAAGCCAGCAAGGGCGTGGAAGGGTTGCGAGCATCATCGGTCACGCGTTTGCGAATGAAGAGTCCCCGTTGCACTTCCTGCGCATGTGCTGATCCCTCCTCGTTTTGGGGCTGGAAGCGTTCGTTCCGAGCGTTTTTCTTCCGCCATGTCACGTGTTTTTGCTTGTTTGGGCCTATTGCCAAGCCAGCAAGGGCGTGGGAGGGTTGCGAGCATCATCGGTCATCGGCCCTCGCGAATGAAGAGTGCCCGCTGCATTTTCTGCACATGTGCGGATCGTCTCGAGTTTTGGGCCTGGAAGCGCTCGTTCTGAGCGTTTTTCTTCCACCGGGTCACATGGCTGCGCTTTTCTGGGCCTATTGCCCAGCAAGCAAGGTTGTGGAAGGATTGCAAGCATCATCGGTCATCGGCGCTTGCGAATGAAGAGTGCCCGCTGCACTTCCTGCGAATGTGTGGATCCTGTCAGAATCCCAACCACTAGACCATTGGGATAAAAGGGCTTGTTTCAGCAGCGGGTCAGTGCGCCCATAACCCCCCAGGCAAACGCGCATGTAACCCCCCCTAGGATCGATCGGGGATCTCACAGTGTATCTCTACTGACACCCCCCCACACTGGGAGGCCCAGGACTGAGCACAGTGGCAACGTCCAACATGTGCATACACCGGGATTCGAACCCGAGACCGCTCTGATACCATGTCAGAATCCCAACCACTAGACCATTGGGATAAAAGGGCTTGTTTCAGTAGCGGGTCAGTGCGCCCATAACCCCCCAGGCAAACGCGCCTGTAACCCCCCCTAGGATCGATCGGGGATCTCACAGTGTAGCTCTACTGACAGATCCTTCCGCGTTTTGGGGCTGGAAGCGTTCGTTACGAGCGTTTTTCTTCCGTCGGGTCACGTGGTCACGTTTGTCTGGGCCTATTGCCAAGCGAGCAAAGGCGTCATTGGTAATCGGCGATCGCGAATGAAGAATGCGCACTGCACTTCTTGCACATGTGCGGATCCTTCCGCGTTTTGGGGCTGGAAGCGTTCGTTCCGAGCGTTCTTCTTCCGCCGGGTCACGTGGCTGCGCTTGTCTGGGCCTATTGCTAACCCAGCAAGGGCGTTGGAGGGTTGCGAGCATCATCGGTCATCGGCGCCCGCGAATGAAGAGCGCCCTCTGCATTTCCTGCACATGTGCAGGTTGTTTGCGGTTGACCAGACAAGCACAGCTAAAACATAGTTTTGCTTGCAGATTGATTCAAAAACACTACACACATCCACCATGCAAAACCTTTGTATAGAACCAGGGCTGACGATTCAAATATGGGTACCCTGTTTTCAATCCCCCTAAAAATTATTTACCCTGAAGGCACATTTTCCGCAAAACGCCAAGCCTGAGCCTTCTTGCGATGTTCAGGGTTCACGAAATCGTAAGTCTGGGCTGTCAGGGTTGGCGGATTGAATTCAGGGTTGAATTTGTACTTCTTTCTAGTTTGGCGAGAAAAGCAGTGACGTGTTTGACGCGAGAAATCTAGCTGGATTGGCGGATTGGCTGGAGGGAGTGCATGTGGCTTGGGAGGGAGGATCTCCTAGGGGCGCAGGGGCGAGAGCGAGGGGTGTGCAAAGGGGGAGGGAGCAAGTGAGTGGGATGGGTGGGGGTGGGGGTATTTCGTGACCGCGGGTCGTCCGCACAAAAGGGGGAGACGGGGGGCAGGAGATGGGGGAACGGACTGCTCATGGGAGGGGTGTCGAGACTCGACCTGGTTTTGGTGGGGGGGGGTTGTGGGAGGGGGACGTTTTTCAATGTTAGTGTCTCGTTTAGTTTCACAATTATTCTAATGTACACATGTTTTTCCAAAGTTAGCGAAAAACAGCTGATTACTAAAAACTATGTCACATGGCAATACGGTGTTTCACTACGGATGGTTTTCTTTTATCTCCTGCCGAATCACTTTGCGATCCGCCAGATCGTGACTTGTTTTCTCGGTTTAAGTTTACAGATAACCAAAATCAGAAATCGAATGTTTAGTCATTCTAACAGAAAAGTAGTGTACTGCGATAACCTGGATAGCGCGAATGGAGTCTCTGAGATGGGAGCAAGCGTAATCATGATTACGCACATGTGGGTTATCAGGACGAAGATTCCTGGAAGCTTCGTCCCGATAACGTTGCATTCAGGGTCAACAGGACGCATACTCTGTATGGACAGGGTCCTTAAGAACACTACTCTGAGTGTATACAAAATTCCAGGGTTCGCTAAAGTACTACTCTGACAAGATCAGTGTTCAGAAGACGTTAAACCTGAAATTACAGGGACCAGAATGTGACAAGTCTGAAATCACCCTGAAATCAGGGTAATTACCCTGATAAAATCAGCCCTGGTACACATGTTTTTCCAAAGTTAGCGAAAAACAGCTGATTACTAAAAACTATGTCACATGGCAATACGGTGTTTCACTAAAAACTATGCCAGATCGTGACTTGTTTTCTCGGTTTAAGTTTACAGATAACCAAAATCAGAAATCGAATGTTTAGTCATTCTAACAGAAAAGTAGTGTACTGCGATAACCTGGATAGCGCGAATGGAGTCTCTGAGATGGGAGCAAGCGTAATCATGATTACGCACAAGAACCTTCTACCTTGAGTGAAGGACACGAGTTGGTATAAAATTGCTTTCAACTGAATTGGTGGTGTTTCCAATTGCTGCTTAGTGAGGTTTCTGCCGCCTGCCTTTCCGCCGAGGGGGTGGGCCCTTGTCACTACATTGGGATGCTGTTCTGAGGGCATCTGAGAGCTGGGTGGGGCTCAAGGCGCCAGTGCTCACAGCACGGGCGAGGAGGGTCACCATCTCTTCCTCACTAAGCTCCACACGCACTCCGCCGCCGCTGCTGCCCCCTGCCATGCCTGCTGCCCACCCCTCCTCGCGCTCTTCCCTGCCCCGGGCGCTGCCCCTGCCCCCTCTGCCCCTCTGGCGCTGGCTCCTGGGCGAGGCGGAGGATGCAGGCGGCGAGGGTGGGTGAGTGGAGAGCTTGAAGTGGAAGGAGGGCTTGTGCGTGTTGGGCGGGCACTGCATGCCCTGCCAGCAGCAAGGGCGCACGGGGCACACAGGAGAATCACATATATGTTTGATAAACACATCACTCACTCCCAAACCATTGGCTGCTGAGAGGCTGAGGGGGCTGTGGGGACGTTCCAGATGAGCTAAGCGTGTTCCAGACTGCAAGTCACCATTCCATGATCAAGCCCCAGCTTTGCGGGTCCAGCGTTGCTTGTGGACAGCAGAAATCGGGTGGCTGAACGAGCAGAGGAAAATCGAGCAAACAACAGAAGCTCACCTGGCAGAGCAACCCACCTGGCAGCACCGCAACCCACCTGGCAGCACCGCAACCCACCTGGCAGCACCGCAACCCACCTGGCAGCGCGCCCAGTCAGTGATGTGGTAGACCTGCCCGTCCGTACACGTGTAGAAGTGCTGTGGGCCCTTCTGCTCGCACGGAAGGGGGGTATGGGGCAGGGGAAGCGATGGCGACATTGTGACACGAGGGGAGGTGAGTGAAGAAGCATGGCGTAAGAGTGGCAGTGCTGTGAGAGTGGCAGTGCTGTGAGAGTGGCAGTGCTGTGAGAGTGGCAGTGCTGTGAGAGTGGCAGTGCTGTGAGAGTGGCAGTGCTGTGAGAGTGGCAGTGCTGTGAGAGTGGCAGTGCTGTGAGAGTGGCAGTGCTGTGAGAGTGGCAGTGCTGTGAGAGTGGCAGTGCTGTGAGAGTGGCAGTGCTGTGAGAGTGGCAGTGCTGTGACAGTGGCAGTGCTGTGACAGTGGCAGTGCTGTGCCGGCTGGTGAGTGCAGAGTGTGTGGCAGCATGTGCACTCACAACAGATAGCATGCCAAACAAGGCAGGCTGGGGAAGTTGCTCCACCCAGCCATCCCCCTCCTTGCATGGGTGGTGCCTCTGACACTCCTGCCACATGAACGCATGCACGCGGGCACACGAGACCACAGGCACACACGCACACGAGAACACACGCACACACGCACACGAGAACACACGCACACACGCACACGAGAACACACGCACACAGGCACACAGGCACATTGGCATACACGCACACAGACGCCTACACTTGCACAAAAGCATGGTACGCAGTCTTCCTCCCATGAAAAAAATAAGTGAAGAACTCGAACTGCACTCCACCTATGACCATCAGCCTCCACTGCACACGCCCCCACCTGCCACTGCATCCCACTCCACCCCAGTGTACCCCATGCACCCCATCGCACCCCACCTGGCACCAGCGGGCTTGGCTGCAGGGGCGGGAGACGGGGCGCCACACATGCGCCATCCCACACTCAGTGCAAGCCACTGGCCGCCCCCCCTCCTCCTCCTCGCCCCCTGCTGTCCCCCCTGCCTGCCCCATCCCCCCTCCACCTTTTCCTCCTGCCCCGCCCATGCCCCCTGCTGCCGCCCTGCCAGTTGTTGTGCTGCTCGTCTGGACACCACATGGGGTTGTAAGCGGGGAAGGGGGGGGGAAGGGGGAATTCGGGGGGGAGGGGAAAGGATTTGGGAGAGGAGAAGCAGCGGAATTGAGTAAATGCAGGGACGAGGAAAATCCATCCGCCAACTCCGCTTCCTACCACCACGCCTTCCTCACCTGCTTCCCCCGCCTCCTGCCACCACCATACACACGGCACCCTATCAGCCCCCCCCCTCGTTCTTATCAGTTTTTGTCTGCCTACCACTCCATAGTTACCCGCACCCCCAGTGCTAAGCTAACTCGCCATCAGCCCAAACTACACTGGACTGCCATATCGCACTGACCTGCCACGTCAGCACGGACCTGCCAGCCACGTGAGCACGGACCTGCCACGTCAGCACGGACCTGCCACATGTGTGCAGCCCTGCGTGTGATGAGCTCCACGAGCTGCTCGCGCCTCAGCTCGCCCTCGTACTCTCGCCGCCTCCCCTCGTCTGATAGCACCTGCCCTCAGCCCCACCACCACCACACACACACACGCACACACACACATGCACACACAGACACACACGCACGCATGCACGCACGCACGCACAACTGACCGCGTTGAAGCACAAGCAAAGGGAGAAGGGAGGGGATGCCAACGAGCACATGGCGTGGCGTGGCGTGGCGTGGCGTGGCGTGGCGTGGCGTGCACTGGTGGTCAGTGAGTCATTTGTGAAGAGAGCACATGGTGTACCTCGTATGGCATGGTGTACCTCGTATGGCATGGTGTACCTCGTATGCGCTCTGCAGGCGTTGAAACGCCACTATGGCATTCTTCTCGTCCTCCCCATGCTTGTCCGGATGCACTAGCATTGCCTGCACGTCATATGCACATGCACAGGCACATGCACAGGCACACGCACACGCACACGCACATACACATGCACACGCACATACACACAAATCAACACAGTCAGTCGGCCACTGCTTTGGTCAGTTGACCCCATACTACAAGCTCACGCGTAATTCCCACAAACCTCTTCACACTCTCTCTTCTCCCAGCCTCTTCCCAGAATCCTATCCTCCCCAGCCTCGTCCCCTTCCCCCGAGCCCCTCCCTCTTCCCAAGTCACCCTGCCCCCCCCATGCGCCCTCTCCCATTCCCCCCTCCCCCCCCTCCCCCCGGCCCCACCATGCGGCGGTATTCCTTCTTGAGGGCGCCCTCATCCACAGCCGCACAGAAGGGCGCCAGGCGAAGCACCTCGTAGTGGTTGCCGCACCGCACTATGCGCTCTATCTCCCCGCCCCCACTCGCCTCTCCCCTGCCCCCCTCTCCCCCTGCCAACCCCGCTTCCCCCTCCCCTGCCGCTCCCCCCACCCCTCCTGACTTCTCCCCCCCAGCCGCGCTTGCTTGGGACTGGTTCGGAGGGGTTGAGTCGGGTTGGGCGGGGTCGTCGTGGAGGGAGGAGGCGAGGAGGAGCAGCAGGTCGGCGGCGAGGAAGGAGGCGAGCAGCGTGAGGCACAGCGTGGTGAGCCCCGCGCGCACCACCACATGGTACACCGTCGATGCCACCAGCAGCAGCAGTGCTGCTCGAGGAGACCCGCTCGCTGCCACTATCCCTGGTGGATGCAGGGGGGTGGGTGCGGGAGCACGCGGGAGAACAGGGGGAAGAGAGCACAGGTGGGAGGGGTTGGCGTTGGGGAGTTGGAGGAGCAGGTGAGCACGAGAAGGGGAGCAAGGGGAGGCGAGCCTGTCCGTGTGTGTGGGCAAGAAAGGGGAACAGTTAGTGTTTGAACAATCCTCCCTGCTTTGAATGGGGCGGGGCTGACCTGCTGTGAGGGCGGTGGCGAGGGCGAAGAGCAGCAGCTTGGCGCGCAGCGCTGTGAAGAGCGCCAGCAGCACCAGCAGCGCGAGTGTGAGCAGCAGCGGCAGGAAGAACGACAGCAGCACCAGCACCACCTGCTCGCCGCAGCGGATGGGAGGCGGGCGTGTGCGGAGGGTTGGGTGGGGGAAGAGAGGGCAGAAGTGGGTACAAAGCAGGTGGTGTGGGAGGCGTCAAGGGAAGGGAAGAGTCACGTGGGGATGGCCGCGATTAGAGTGGCAGGGGGGTTGCACGCACAAGGAGGGGATGTGTGAGGCATGGGGTGGATGGAAGGGGGTGGGAGAGGGGGCGGGCGAGGGGGCGGGCGAGGGGGCGGGCGAGGGGGCGGGCGAGGGGGCGGGCGGGGGGGGAGCGTACGAGGGAGGGCAGGAGCACGAGCCAGCCGAGGGTGCGACCCATGCCCACCAGCGCGCCCACCAGCGGCAGCACCGCCGACCCCAGCGACGGCGGCACCAGCGACGCGCACCCGCGGATCACGAACGCCGCCGCCGCAACCGCCGCCCACAAGCCCGCCGCCGCCGCCAACCGCGCTGCCGCCCCCGCCACGCGCCACGCGACCGCGCAGTATCGGCCCGCTCGCTCCGCGAACGCGCTCCCCGCGCTCTCACGCCGCGCCCATGGGGGGAAGCCGTTTGCGGGGCCCCTACTGTGCCATTGTGGTGACGGCGATCGTGGCGACGCTGACGACGCGCCGTGCGACGTGCTATGCGACGATGCTGCTCGCGACGAGGCGGCGTGCGGTCGTTTCCCCGAGGCCCGGGCGGGACCTCTCCGCGCCTCGCCCCTCGCCATGACGCGGCGCACCCAGCAGGGGGACTCGCGGCGGCGATTGCGGCGACAATTGCGCGGTCTAGGGCCCAGCTACGAAGGCATCTTGCGCGGCCGCGCAAGGAGAGACGGGAGAGCACAAAATTTAACGGCGTTATAAGCTGACTCGGAGAACGGTGGGGCTCGATTGTGTCTTGGAGGAGTGGCGGGAATAGCGCGCGTAAACTAAACTGAGGATGGTGGGATGGCCACTAACGGCACAAAGCGTGTTCTTTAGGAACTCCCATAGAGGCTCTTGACAATGAACGGGTCAACGCATGCTCTACATCCAGACTATTGCTGTTACACTGTACGCAGTATAAGATGACAAGGTATGTTTACAGAAGATAGAATGGTGCCGGGAATCTTCTTTAAAACTTTCCAAATATTGTTTGCAACTGGCTGTACATTTTTCCTATAATAGATAGATCAATCGGACCCTCTAAAACTGAGCATGAACATTTGCATCAGCAAGACAGTTTCTGCACTCCCTATTCTTATTCCCACTTGAAGCAGCAAGTCTTAGGCACACAGTCAGCATGGCATCTAGCAGATGCCGGCACGCCATGCCCTCTGCTGCACCCTCACCACCACTGCTCACCGAGCAGCACCGCTCACCCCTGCAACATCCTGCATCCCCCACCAGCTCTCCCGCCTGTGACCTCTCACCAAACTCCCCGTTCACGTTCCCTGACTCCCCTCGCCGCTCCTCCACCGCTTCCTTATCTGCCCGTGTTTCCACTCCGTGCCGCCGCTGCAGCTCCTCCAGCAGCAGATGCGCCACCCCACATGCCGACGCCGCTACTCGATGCACGTGCCGCCGCACACGAGACCCACATCGCCCCTGCCCTGCCACGTGGCAGTCTTGCATTGGCTCTGGGACTGCAGCAAGGCATGTGTCTGGGTGCAGCGTGTGCTGCAAGGGCTGTGAGTTGGTCTTATGTCCTCCGTGTGAGCACAGGGCATTCTCTTGCTCTGACCCACAGATTTCCATCCCCTGCTGCTCTCTGCTTTCCTCCTCCATGACCCCCGTCACCTCCATTCCATCCCCTCCGCAACCCCCTTCCTTTTCCCGCTCTTGTCCTCGCCTCTCCCCTACTCTCACGGCCATCTCACACCCCTCATCACCCCCACGCCCCTCCTCGCCCTCACATCCCCTGTGCCTGCGGATCCTCTCATCGCCCCCTGTCACCTGCACTGCAGTAAACGCCTTCCCCAGCTGAAACGCCCCCATACCCACTCCCCTCATGCTCCCACCCCCTCCACCAACGCCCCTCGTGCCACCGCCACCATATTTCTCAGCTACCCGGCCTGCCCCTACCTGGGAAGTAAGGGGCATTGGCGGACTGTGTGGTTGAGAGGGCTGGAGAAGGGAGGGAGTGTGGGTAGCAGGGAGGAGAGAGGAGTGGGAGAGGCCCGGCAGGAGAATGGCGAATGAAAAGCGTGAGGAGAGATGCGGAGGGGCGAGAGAGCGGTGGTGGTGGGGGTGAGTGAGGGAGGGAGGGCAAGAGGGAGTGAGTGGTGGGGAGGATGGTGATGGTGACGGTGTGTGTGGCTGCTGGGTGGTGCCTTGGGAGGTGTGTGAGGGAGGGAGGGGGGAGGTGGCAACAGTAGGGGTGGTGGGAAGGGTGGAAGGCGGCAGCAGTGGTGCCAAAGCAGCAGCAGGTGCAGGCACAGCAGTGGGTGAGGCTCGGAAGCGAAGGCGGCGATCAACGTGGCAGGCGAGGGTCCCGAGCTGGCTCATGTTCCCACCACCACTTCCACCACTTCCACCACTTCCACCACTTCCACCACTTCCACCACTTCCAGCACTTCCAGCAGCAGCAGCAGCAGCAGCAGCATCAGCAGCAGCATCAGCATCAGCATCAGCATCAGCACCACCACCACCATAATCACCCCCATCATCACGGCAGGCCTCGTACTGCCTCTTCCTGCTGCTGGGCCCCGCTGCACTGCATGGCACGGGGTCACCCCTAACAGACGCCTCCACAGGTATGCCCCTAGCATGCCTGCTGTCACTGCCACCACCCCCGCTCGTCGCATGGCTGATGCTGGCACTGGTGTGGCTGGCAACAGGCAGCACGTCACAGTGTGGCAGGGGCGGAGGGAGAGCACATGCTGTGGAGGTGTGTGGCTCAGGCGCACACCACTCACCCTCCTCTTCCATTCCTCCCACCACTTCCACGTCATTCACCCCCTCATCCAATTCCTGCTTCACTCCTCTTCCCCCCTCTCTCGCCTCACTCGCCCTGCACTCCCCTGGTGCAACCCCTGCCCTCGCCCCACCATGTCCTGCCTGCTGCACTGCCTCCCTTTCATGGCGCCCACGACAACACCGCTCGCCCTCACCAGTCCCCACTCCCTGTGCCCCCTCTCGCCCGCCCGTCCACCCAGCCCCACCAGCAGGCAACCGCCCCCTTGCCTCCCTACGGCCACCCTCGCCTGCACTGGTTCTTGTCTGCTCCACGCCCAGCCCCACTCTCGTTCCCGCCTCTCCCATCGCCGCTTCTCCTCTTGCCACCACTCGCCCCTCCTCAACTCTCTCCTCCGCCCTGCCCCTTTCCGTCCCCTCCCTCTCCTCCTCCACCACCTGATCATTGGCTCCCAGCCCTCCATTGTTTCGCTGCCCTTTCCCCCCATCACCAACCCCTCCTACCCCGCCCGCCTGCTCCCGCTCCCCTGCTCCCTGCGCCATCTGTTCCCCATCCCCCCAATCCTCATTCTCCTCTCCCTCGCCTATTCCTTCCGCCCTCTCGTCTCCCTCGCTTACCCGCACCTCCCCTTCAATCGGCCTCCCCTCCTCCTCATCAACTTGCCCATCCCTCACCCCCCCGTCCTCTCCTTCCCCTCCCACGTCCTCCCCTTCGCCTCCACCCATGCACTCCACCCCTCGCCCGCGCGCCTCTCTCTCGCGCCACTCCCTCTCCACAGCCTGCAGCAGCGCCGCATCCCCCAGGGGCGAACCTTCCAGGATCTTGCGGATGCGCCCCACGCCCTCCTCCTCCCGCACGCGCTCCACCTCCTCCACCAGCGCCGCCACGCCTCTCGCCTGCACGGCCCCCACAAACCGCACTGCGCGCTCGTACGCGCTCTCCCCCTCGCCCTGCTGCTGCCCATCAGGCTGCCCCGGGGAAGGGTGGGAGGGGGAGGCGGAGTGTTGTGGGGGCCCAGGAGCGGGCGCGGAGAGGAGGCCGCGCAGGAGAGGGTACTTGCGGCGCATGGCGGAGTTCCAATAGTTCTTTATGGCGTTGTCCGTGCTGTGGGGGGGGAGAGCGTGAGGGGGAAGCGGGGGAAGAGAGGGTTCCATAGGTGTGAGTAAGGAGGAGTATATCAGAGGTTGTTGTGTGGGGGAAGGGAGGGGATGCATGTGGAGTTGTGGAGAGATGAGGAGAGAGAAGCGGAATAGACAGCGGGTGGCAGAGTAAACGGTGTTAGGGCAGGAGGCACGCACCGTCCGGGAAGGTTCTTGGCGATGAGGGCCCACTTGTTGCCGTGGATGGCATGTGCTGTGATGATGCGCGCATCCTCCTCCACTGTGAACTGGCCCCTCCTCAATGCCGGGTCCAGCTGGTTGCACCACCTGCCAAGGGGGGGACATGGGAGGGAGAAGGAGGGAGGGAGAAGGAGGGAGGGAGAAGGAGGAGGGAGAAGGAGGGAGGGAGAAGGAGGGAGGGAGAAGGAAGGAGGGAGAAGGAAGGAGGGAGAAGGAGGGAGGGAGAAGGAGGGAGGGACATGTGCTGTGATGATGCGCGCATCCTCCTCCACCGTGAACTGGCCTCGCCTTAACGCCGGGTCCAGCTGGTTGCATCACCTGGTGTGGGGGACAGGGGAGGGAGGGATGGATAGATGGAGCAGGATGTGCATGCCACATGCAGCATGGGCTCAGAAACAAAGAGAAGAAGCGCACAAACACGGAAAAGTAAAGAGCAACCAGACTGTGACAAAGGTGAAACAAATCAACACAAGACCGCCTCCTTCTTTCCGCTCATCCCAGCGCGTCCCACCGCACCTCACCGCACTACACCGCACGCACCTGAGTCTACAGCTCTTCCCAGGCCGGCCAGGGATGCCAGCAGCGATGGCGCTCCAGTTCTTCGCCCCGTGCACCGCCACCAGCGCCGCCAGCCGCTCGTCCTCCTCCGCCGTCCACGCCCCCCTGTTCACCGCCGCTGCTCCCCCCCGCCCTCCGCCACTCCGCCTCCTCTGCTCCTTCTCCCCGTCCTCCTCCCCATCCTCGCCCCCCCTGCTCCCCCGATCCTGCTCCCCTATCAGCCCTCCGCTCGCCTCGCTACTGCTGCCGCCTCCCCTCTCCTCTGCCACCTTCCCCCTCCTCTCCGCCCCCTCCATCCGCCCCTCCATCGCCCCCTCGCCACCGCCGCTACCGTCACGGCTGTCCGCCTCCCCTTCCTTGCCGGCTCCCCCACGACCCCGCGCATTCTCTGCCCCCGTATCCACATCCGCCGCCCTTGCCCGCGCCTTGGTTCCCCTGGAAGCCGCGCCATGCGCCCCCAGATTGGCGGAGAGCAGCGGGCGCGCGCTGCTGGCGGGGGATGCTCCCCTGATTGCCTCCTCGCGCGGTTGCTCCGCTTGCCGCTCCCCCTCCTGCTTCTGTGCCCGGCTGGCGCCCGGTGCTCGTCCAATTCCCGCGGGCAGCACCAGCCGCAACGGGCCCCCTGCGGGCGTGGAGGCGGAGGGGCGCGCGGAGACGGCTGCGAGCCGAAGGAATCGGGGGACAGTGCGCATGGCGCTGGGCTCCGCCTCGAGGTTGGCGGCGGAATTGTCCGTATGTGATGCGGCGGGTCGCTGTGCAGGCAGCGCGGTGGCGCGGGTGAGCGGAGCCATGCGGGTGATGCGCGCAGGTTACAAATAGCGGCAGCTCACAAGCTCTCAAGGGTCTGAGCAGGTCTGAACGCTTCTAAAAACGTGCGGGCGATGCTGCACCTCGTAGTAGTGTGGGTGGATGCGCGTGACGGGTGGTTAGTTGCTGCTCTCAGGTGCGTGTGCTCGCATTCGGAGGTATCCTCCTACAGAGCTGCGGCGGTTAGCCATCTCCTGCTGGAACCAGCAGAGCCTCGAGTCGTTGCGCGCAACTTGAATTGAGCGCCAAGCGCCCGAGGAGTACAACTGCATCGTGCCTGCTACACCAAGCATCGCTACCGCTAACCCGATCATGTGCGGTGGAGCCACGTGAATGGAGCTGTTTCGCTTCACCTCTGGGTGAGGGGTTCGCGCAACAAGCCTGACCGCTCGGTTCCGCTGCTGGCTCTGCGCTCGCTCGCTCCCCCAAAAGCTTCTTGCATCCGCTCGTTGAACGCGCGGCCGATGTCGTTGGGGAAAGCGAGAAGACGAAACGTCCCGTTCTGGCTTCTTGTGACCATTCCAGGCGTAACAGATGGCGGTTAGAAGACGAAACGGCACTTCCTCGTTACTAGGTTCGCGGACCCAGAAAGCTGAAAGCAATCTGAGTGCACACTCCGTGTGTAATCGGTGTAAATTGCTAACAAGCGATTTCTCCTATGTGTCAAAAACTCTTGCGCAATAGGCAACGCGTTCGTGGAGTGTAGTTATTGAAGGTATATTCCCTTGGGTCTGGTGTAGCTGGTTTCCAAGGCAGACAGTTCTCAGGGCAAAGCAGTTCCCAGGGCAAACTTGTTCCCAAGGCAGCCCAGTTCCCGAGGCTATTTTGCTTCAAGTGACGGTGCTTCCGAGCCCAAAGCAGCACGGCATCATTCCCACGCAGCACATCTCGAGGCCAGGCCCGAGCGCGTGCGTCTGCCCACCGTCGCTGCCTGACGGACCACCACCACCATCCTCCATACCTCCTCGCTGCTTCACGCCATTCTCAAAGCAGCATTGCGAATTCGCTCGCCTTCGTTCGCGAGCAGCGGCGCGTAGTTGCCGGCGACATTGACCCTGACGGACCCACGCGAGACAGAAGTTCGCAGCGGCAGGCATGGCGGGAGGGGCGGAGGCGGCGAGCGATGTGACGGTCCACGTCACCACGCCGCTGTTGCCGCGCGAGGTACGGCGCAGCGCGAAGGGGCATGCGTCGTGATGAGCCAGAAATGTGCGCATTGCAGTTCATGATGAATCTGTCTTCTTGCGCGGCTCTGCTTCCGCATTCCTCCCAATATCCCCTACATTCCCTCCTCTTCACCTCGTTGCATCACCGTCGCCTCTCCTCAGGTTTCTGCTCCCGCAAGACACATGACGCTCAGCGATGGGAGCCCTTCAACGCCGCATTCCCCGGGTGCACGTCGCATCGCTGCAGCTGCAAGGATCGCCGCTGTCGTCGGGTGCGTCGCTCTGCTCGCCGCGCTCTGCCTCCTCGAGCCGCGCCGAGCTGGCCTTGCGACACGCGCTGATGGTGCCGCCGAAAGCAGCAGCAGCAGCAGCAGCAGCAGCAGCAGCGCGGCTGTTAGTTTCTTCGCATTCGGCGACTGGGGTCGCAACGGGACCTTCAACCAATCGCTCATCGCACAGCAGGTGCGACGCACACCCTTTCTCATCGTCCCTTGCGCTGTGATCACACCCCATCCACACACACCTCTCTTGCAATGCAATGCACAAATCTGTCCTTGTACGCCTGTGCGGTCCAGATGGGTGCAGTGGGGCAGCAAATGGCGCCGCAGTTCGTGGTGTCGGTGGGGGACAACTTCTACGACGAGGGGCTGACGGACGTGAACGACGACGAGTTCGCGCGCTCCTTCACCAACATCTACACGCACCGCACCCTGCAGGTCCCCTGGTATGCAGGTACGCCTCTTCCTTTCCCACCCTCGCTCTCTTTATCGCTCCCTTCCCCTCCGCTTCTCACGCTTTGTCGCACTTGCACGCTCAGACGCACACACAAGGGCCACACTGCTCACCGCCTGCCACATCACACCGCTCCTTTCTCCCAACCCCCTCCCCGCTTTCCCTGCCCCATCCCGCCACCAGTGCTGGGCAACCACGACTACTACGGCAACGTTCTCGCTCAGCTGCACCCAGCCCTCGCCAACAGGGACCCGCGCTGGGTGTGCCGCCGCAGCATGGCGCTCTCGCTTCCGCTCTGCCCCTCCGCCAGTGTTGACTGCGTTGACCTGGTTGACCTGTTCCTATACGACACCACGCCCCTCGTGCCCGCGTACCGCCACAAGAAGGGGCGGCGCGTGGACTGGCGCGGACTCAACTCCGCCAATTGGACGCTGCAGGAGGCCGCGCAGCTGCAGGTGATTTGGGGAAGCCACCTGCTGCTATGCTGCCCCCTTCCACATCGCTCACACCACCATAGCTTGCAACTGCCTCCCTTTCCCAAAGCTCTTGATACTAACGCAATCCCCCCCTACCCGTCCCTTTTAGACAGTTCTTCTGCCACATTCTGGTGCCCACAGCTCGCGGCCTCTGTCTCACCATCCTGTGCCTCTTCCCTCCCCCAACTCCCTTTCTTCCCCTTCGTCTTCCTCCTCCCCGAACGTGCTGCAGGAGCTGGAGGGGTGGCTGGGCAACTCGCGGGCGCGGTGGAAGGTGGTGGTGGGGCACCACCCGGTGTTCAGCTACGGGCACCACGGCGACCAGCAGGAGATGATCGACCGCGTCAAGCCGCTGCTCGAGGTGAGATGCATAGATGACCCACGTCTGTGTGCCTGTGCATACATTGACCCGCCCTCGCATGTCTATGTGCTGTTCTTTTACTCTCCTGTTTCCCATCTGCTCCCCCCCACCACTACACACCAGCGGTACGGAGTGGACGCATATCTGAACGGCCACGACCACGACATGCAGCATGTGAAGAGGGATGACAGGTACTGATACTAGTGCATGCATTTTTGCACGCTTCTCTGCCTTTCCACCATAGACTTACATATCTGCACCAAGAAAATACCTCATTGCGTTCTTTCCGCCTTGTCCTCACCTTCTCACCGGTCAACCCTCTCCCCTCGCATTCCACCTCATTTCTCTTCTTTTCCCCCTTCCCCTCCGCCCTCTTCTCCTGCCACTCCAGTCCAGTGCACTATTTCACGGTGGGAGGCGGTTCCAAGGCGTGGCGCAGCGACGCCCCCTCAGAAGCCCCCGGGCTGCGCTTCTACTTCCCAGGCCAGGGCTTCAGTGCCCTGCAAGTGGACAGAGACCGCCTCTCAGTCACCTTCTATGGCGTGGACGGCCAGCAAATGTACTCCACCACTCTGGAAAAATGAGGGCTCTCATCAGGTGTCCCAGGGCTGTGCGTCTACTTCCCAGGCCAGGGCTTCAGCGCACTCGAAGTGGACGGGGACAGACTCTCCGTCGCCTTCTATGGTGTGGACGGCCAGCGAATGTACTCCACTACTTTGAGGAAATGAGCGCACCGCCAGGGGTTTAGCGCACTGCATGTGGACGGGGACCAGACCACCTCTCAATCGCCTACTATGGCGTGGATGCCCAGCAGATGTTCTCTGTGTTCTCAACACTCTGCAACCCTCTGGTGTGGAGGTTCTTGGCAGTTGCAAGGCTGTTCAAACTCATTGTCATGTGTGCCAGCTAAGCTTATATGTTTATTTTGTCGGCCTAAGTTTTCTGCTCAGTGCAATCCGTCTGTGGCCTGTCACCTCGGAGCCCTGGACTCCCACCAGGGAAGGGAGTCAATACAAGCTCTTCACAACACATGTGATGTGCAGACCTACTCAATTTAATTGGAGAGAAACAACTAGGAATAGGGGTGGCGCGTTGGGAAAAGGATTTGGTAGCTGGGTGACAACAGCTTTCCACTGTTCACGACTTGAGTCGCTTGGCATCAGCATCCGGCACACTCGCATCGTCCTCTCCCGCCTGCATGCAATGAGGGCAGCACCGCACAGCACCGCATGTGCATCGGTCAAAAGGAGCATAAGAGCAGGTCACAGTGGCAATGGACGCTGCTAGAGCATTGGATGGTAACTGGAAGTGCGGGTTGGCAGGTGTTGACAGGGCAAGCCACCGCGGAATGCATGCAAGGCAGTCAACTCAAGGGAAGCGTACTGGCAGCACCGCATTCCAAACCCCGCACTCACCATGAGAGACCTGAGTGAGCACTCACCATGAGAGACCTGAGTGAGCACTCACCATGAGAGACCTGAGTGAGCACTCACCATGAGAGACCTGAGTGAGCACTCACCATGAGAGACCTGAGTGAGCACTCACCATGAGAGACCTGAGTGAGCACTCACCATGAGAGACCTGAGTGAGCACTCACCATGAGAGACCTGAGTGAGCACTCACCATGAGAGACCTGAGTGAGCAGTCACCATGAGAGACCTGAGTGAGCAGTCACCATGAGAGACCTGAGTGAGCACTCACCATGAGAGACCTGAGTGAGCACTCACCATGAGAGACCTGAGAGAGCACTCACCATGAGAGACCTGAGTGAGCAGTCACCATGAGAGACCTGAGTGAGCACTCACCATGAGAGACCTGAGTGAGCAGTCACCATAAGAGACCTGAGTGAGCACTCACCATGAGAGACCTGAGTGAGCACTCACCATGAGAGACCTGAGTGAGCACTCACCATGAGAGACCTGAGTGAGCACTCACCATGAGAGACCTGAGTGAGCACTCACCATGAGAGACCTGAGTGAGCACTCACCATGAGAGACCTGAGTGAGCACTCACCATGAGAGACCTGAGTGAGCACTCACCATGCGAGACCTGAGTGAGCACTCACCATGAGAGACCTGAGTGAGCAGTCACCATGAGAGACCTGAGTGAGCAGTCACCATGAGAGACCTGAGTGAGCAGTCACCATGAGAGACCTGAGTGAGCAGTCACCATGAGAGACCTGAGTGAGCAGTCACCATGAGAGACCTGAGAGAGCACTCACACGGGTGTGGTTCAAGTTTCTCCTCTCTTCCCGCAACTCCTTCCACCCTACAGTCCATCCTCTTTCCCCCACTCCTCCCCACCCACCTTCTCCCGCGGCACGACAGCGTAGCGCTCGGCAGGAGACACCCACGTGGCAGTCTGCCCCCATCACGTGGTAGACTGTTAATCGACTCAAAAGTCAACCCCCACCCTCTTCCCTCTTCCCTCCATTCACCCTCGCACCTTCTCCCCTGGCACGACGGCATAGCGCTCGGCAGGAGACACCCACGTGGCCGCGGCATCCGGAACCTCCGCATGAGCTGCTGCTGCCACGTCCTTCTTGCCGCCCGGCCCGCTGATGTGGCGACACCTGTCACCGTCCGCGCTTATCGCCTCCACTCGCTTGGGCAGGTTCCTGGAAAGTGGGCCGGCGGGAGAGAGTGCAGACAGGCAAGAGCAGCAGGCCCTATGATGGCATCCCATGAGCCGCCCACCTAGCCTGTGATGGGCATGAGCGGCAGCGCCATGGCACTGAAATCTCAAGCATCTCACCACACTGCATGGGCTGACCTGTCCTGCACACACAGCAGCAGCCCCACCTGTCGGTGGTATCCCCGTGGCCCAGCTGCCCACTGGTGGCTCGACCCCAGGAGAACACGTTGCCGCCCTCACTCAACACCACCGTGTGCCGCCACCCACACGCCACCGCCACAACCCGCTGCCGCCACAGGGTTTGGAAACATAGGGAGAAAGGGAGGTGGGGAGGAGGGTGAGACGGGGCACAGGGTGAGGCAGTGAGGTGGAAGAGCAAAGGTGGGGAGAAGATGTGGATGTGGCGAGATGGGGACCAGTGCAGCAACCACAGGGCCACGCTTGCTGTGGCAGCCCACTCATCTTCCATGCTCGTCCCCTTTACCATCCCCCCCATCCCCCTCCGCACCTTTTCCCCCTACCCATCCCAGCACACACACAGCTGACCTCGGAAATGCTCTCTATCCGCTGCGGCGAGCACTGGTCCTCCGAGTTGCCCACTCCCACCTGCCCGAACTGATGGGTGGGAGATGCAAGAGGTGGGGCAGGGACGAGCAGGCAGTGTGGCAGGGAGACGGGAGTGCAGAGAGGACAAGAGAGGTGAAGAGGGGTCTGGTGAGAGTGGTATAAGAAGGGATGGGAGAAAGTATAAGGAAAGAGCACTGGTTATGTGGAAGGTCAGGGGACCAGACCAGCATCAAGCACTCTCTTCTCCCACCACGTTCTCCCTTTCACTCCCTTCTCCCGCTCACTCGCTCTCACTCCCTCACTGCCTCTCACTCCATTCTCCCGCTCACTCCCTCTCGCTCACTTTCACCCCCTCTGTGTTCCACTCCACCCACTCACTCTGTTCCACCCCCACGCGTACACCACGCCATCTGCATCCAGAGCAACGGAGTGCCGCCACCCTCCTGACACCTGCTCGCAGTCAAGGTAGGGAGGAGGGGGGACGGGGGAGCGGAGGGCAGTGAGACGGTCAGCAGGTGGCTGATGTGTCAAGTGCACAATTGAAACGGCTTTCGAATGGGGGGGAAAGGGAGGACGAGAGCGTCCTCCCTGCAGCAGCACAACTCACAAATCCTCTCACCTGCACGATGCACGGCTGTGCCCTCACCTGCACAATCCGCTTGTCCTGCATGGCTGGAACGGGCGAGGGCGTGAGGTGGTCCTGGAAGTCGCCATGCCCCAGCTGCCCGTACTTGCTCCACCCAAACGTCAACAGCCGCCCCTCCCCGTTCACTGCTATCGTGTGCCGCCACCCACACGCCACCTGTGCTATGCGCTCTGACTGCCAGCAGGGGAGACGCAGGGACGAGGGGCAGTGGAGAGGGGAGAGGCGATGCATGGGAGGGCAGAGGGGCGAGGATGAGGGAGGGGGGGAATGCAACCGACTCAAAACTCACCTGGATGGAGGTGACCCTACCCTGGTCGCACCCACGTATCCTCCAATCTTGTTGCCTGTCACCCTACATGCTACCACTCCGCTCCATCCCCCCATGCACCTCAATAGCAGTGACCTGCTCGGGCAGCTTCCTGGCCAGCCAGCCGGTCCCCCACCCAGTGGTTGCCGTAGCGCCCCCACCCCCACCCCTTCACACCCCGATGCCTGTGGCCCTAAATGCACCTATTGACCTCTCACCCATGCCCATGACCCTACACGCTACCTCACCATCCCCCCCACGCACCTCAATGGCGGTGACCTGCTCGGGCAGCTTCCTGTCAAGGCGGTCCCCCAGCCCCAGGTTGCCGTAGCGCCCCCACCCCCACCCGTACAGCCGTCCATCCTCCGCTGCCGCTGCTGTGTGCTCTGCGCCCGCTGCCACCATCCTCAGCGGCACCCCCTGCAGCACACAGGGGGGGAAGGTGTGGTGTGGGGGAGAGGGGAAGGAGGTGGGGGGGGTGGAGGATAGAAGGGAGAAGAGGGGAGGGGGGAAAAGGAGGGAGAGGTGATGTATGGGTTGGTGGAAATGGAGAGGGGAAGGGTAGCGGGGAAGGCAGGGGTAGCGCCCCCACCCCCACCCGTACAGCCGTCCATCCTCCGCTGCCGATGCTGTGTGCTCTGCGCCCGCTGCCACCATCCTCAGCGGCACCCCCTGCACGGGGGGAAGGCTGAAGGGGGCAAAATGGGGGAGGCGGGGGAGAAGAAGGTTGGGGGGTTGAGAGAGGGAGAAGGTGGGGAGGGTGGGTATGGGGACGGAAGGAGAGGCGATGGATGGGTTGGTGGTAATGGAAGGGTGGATGGGTAGAGGGGAGGGCAGAGGTAGGGGATGGCAGGGGAAACGCAGGTTGGAAGTGGAGGGCAAGGGAACAATCTGAGTGGAGCGGTAAGAGGCAGGCGGCGTGCGTGATGATAAGGCAGGAGGCGTGATTGCATCATGAGTGCAGGGATGGGGGGACTTGGAATGGGAGGGCCTTACAGAGAGCGTGGTGATCTGTCTGTGTGGGCACGAGGGCGTCGCCCAGCATGCCCAGCCCCAACGAGGTGACCTGTCAGTCGACTCAAAGAGGGGCTTACCGCCAGGAGTGGGGGGCCTTACCGCGAGGAGTGGGGGGGCTTACAGCGAGGAGTGGGGGGGCTTACCGTGAGGAGTGGGGGGGCTTACAGCGAGGAGTGGGGGGGCTTACCGCGAGGAGTGGGGGGGCTTACAGCGAGGAGTGGGGGGGCTTACCGCGAGGAGTGGGGGGGCTTACAGCGAGCGCGGTGATCTGCGTGGGCACGAGCGCGTCGTCCAGCGTGCCCAGCCCCAACTGCCCGTTCTGATTGCGCCCCCAACTGGTGCCATGCCAAGGGGTGGGGCACGGGTGGACGGCACGGAGGGGTGGACGGCACGGAGGGGTGGACGGCACGGAGGGGTGGACGGCACGGAGGGGTGGACGGCACGGAGGGATGGACGGCACGGAGGGGTGGACGGCACGGCACGGAGGGGTGGACCGCACGGAGGGGTGGGAGGAAGAGGAAGCAGAATGCAGCGATGAAGGGATGGCGCTACTGCGAGCATGACTGTGCCTGTTTGTGATAGACACGCCCGAGACAGCAGGGCCATGCTGGGCAGGGGCCATCTGAACTGAAGGCGTTGTGGCGTGGCAGTGCAAGAGGTGGCCTGCAAGGCATGCCACGTCCATGCACGCGCCACCACCACCTCACCACCCCACCAATTGACCGTCTGCCCACCACCTGACCGCCCCATCACCTGTTGCCTGAAAAATCACCTGAAGGCGGTGCCATTGGCGTCAACAGCAATGCAGTGGCAGTCGCCACACGCAATGTGCTTGATGGATCGCCCGCACAGCGACGCCACGGCGTGCGGCAGAAACACGTCGCTCGAATGCCCGTGCCCCAGCCGCCCAAAGTCGCCCCTGGGGGGGTGGCGGGGGGAGAAGACCGGAAGGGGGAATGGGGAGACGAGGGGGAGGGAGCATGGGGGGTAGGGAGGAAGGATGGGAGATGGGTGGGAAGAGGAATGGAGAGATGGGTCGCCCACACAGCGACGCCACGGCATGCGGCAGAAACACGTCGCTCGCATGCCCATGCCCCAGCCGCCCGAAGTCGCCCCTGGGGGGTTGGCGGGGGACGCGGGGGGGGGAAATGCGTGGAAGGGGGCGCGGGGAGATGTGCGGAATGGGGCAGGGGGAGATGCGTGTTAAGTCAAAACCTCGCCTATTACCTCACTATCCTGCTTCTTCACCCGCCACCCAACGGTATACAAATCCCACCATCCCCTTTGATTAACACACCCCCCCCCTCACACACACCTATTAACTCATCCACCCCCACCGATTAACTCACCACCCCCAGGACCAGAGCGTCTGCGAGTCCTCCGAGTACGCCGTCGTGTGATCCGCGCCGCACGCCAGCGCCGACACGCGCTTCCCCGCCAGCGCCGCGACCTCCGTGGGCTCCAGCTGCTCCTCCGCGCTGCCCAACCCTAGCTGCCCGTCCTCCCCGCGCCCCCACGCGCACACGCGGTCGTCCGCTGCACGCGCGCACGATGAAGGGGGAACGCGCGCGATTATGGGCGCGAATGGCAGACGGCTTTGCAGTCGAGAATAAAAGTCGACACGGACAGATGGAATCTAGGGTTGCTGGGTTACAGCGATGCGGAAAGGCTCGGAACGCAACCGGAAAGCGGAAATGAGCGCTGCAGCATATAAACATGTAGAGGTGAAGATTTTCAAAACTAGTCTATCCAACATACCAACGCATCGGATAAAACGCACTACTCGTGTGAAAAAAATAACGACTACGGTATGCCAAGAAACACGCACAGAGAAGGGCGACGGTGTGACTGGCGCCTGCTGATATCGCCACGACACGACACTCGGAATCTTGAGACGCCATGTCTTGAACTGTGAGGGAGGCGCTAGTCGCGTTGAGTAGAATCTAGGGTAAATGGAAAAAGCATAGGCATTCAAAGAAGCATACCCCTCGTTCCTCCAGTCGACCGCGATAATGAGACGCGATATCTGAATTTGAGAGCACAGACGCTTTCTTTCCTGCTGTATTACTGATACATAATTGATATATCTTTCTTGTCAAGTATCAAATTGCCTCCATTTCATGAGGAACTGGTGGATAAAATTCAGGGAAGAACATAAAATAAGGGTTTTTCTTAAGGGTAACAATTTATTTATTCCTGTGGAAGGTGGATGTGGCCCCAGACACTCTCTTGATTTTGATCTTGAAGGTAGCTTGCTCAGCCTATGTATGCTCGCATTTTTTGTAGGTGAGCAATTGTTCTGGTACCGGGACATGCAACGATCGAGTCTATCCAGAATGACTGTTAGAGCGTAGACTGTTCTGATACATCAGCGGTCAGCAGTTACTCAGTTGACCTGACCACCCTCTGGTCGTTCGTTCCCGCAGGTCCGTAAGATTTACGGGCAGATTCGCCGTGTGAAAAGCAAACCCAGGCAACACCTTCGCTGAACAGTCCTTGAACTGGAAGTTATTTCCGAGCGAGACTCGCAGCCTCGTGCACGATTGACCAATGATAGCATAGAAGACCTTGTCATCACGTTCGGGAATTAGCGAGACTGCTGGATAATCTGTGTCAGAAAGCTGTTGAGGTTGAGGTGCAGCAAAAATGAACTGTACAGCACGCAGCAGGATTGGCAAATCAGGAGATTTCACTGTAAGCTTTGCCAGCCCAGATCGACGCAGCCCAGATCAATTCCACAAACTACCACACCCAGTTATGTGCGTCGCCCGCAACGACCCCACTCGCCTCGTGGCATTGCGCCTACCTCAACCGCGACTCGCATCGCGATTTCTCGATCCTCGAAGTCCATCCATCCTGCCACCTCCATCTCCGCTTGCGACGAACTCAAACGAAATTGGCCTCGTCCGCACGCACATTTGCGGCCCCCGTTACTCCGTACACTTCACTCGCCCCCTCCCCCCATCCAGCTAGCCAAGCCACCCTTCTTCCCCCTCCCTCCCTCTTCCCCCCCCCCCCCCCCCCCCCTCCCCCCTTCTCCACCCTCCCGTTGTGCACCAAATTTATCCCCTTTCATGGCGGCTGTCTAGAACTGACAACCCTGCTTGAACCGGCAGTCTAACCACCACAAGCGCAATAAGACGTCGTAGTAAAACCCCGAAATTTACACGCTGTGAAACACAGTAAGCTCACCCAAACACTTCCAATCGAACCTCTCTCGTGAAAACGCTGGAGCAGCAGTGAGGACATCAGAATTGCTGCGCGAGACTTCACAGCCACACGCACCAGTACCTCCATTCTAAGCCCGTCATTGTCGCAGTACTTCCCGGTGCTGCTTCGCGAATCAGTCCAGACCGTCACGTCGCGTATCACTACTTCCGCGCGTGGCTCGCTCCGCGCGTACCTCCCCGTTCCGCTCCCCCCTTTCCCCCACTCCCCCGCCATGGGCGCAGCGGGGTCGCGCGAGGTGTGGGTGGTAATGCCGGACGGCCGCGCGGAGAGCTTCCGCGAGCCAATCACCGTCGCGCAGCTGCTGGCGCAGCACCCGGGGTATCTCGTGTCGCAACCTGACCTGCCCGGGAACCCCGTCGAGAATCACGGTGCGAATCGCGGGCGGCGGTGGAATTTGCCAGCGGAAGAGGTGCTGCGGCTCGGGGAGATGTACGTGCTGCACTCCGCGGAGCTAGCGAGCGTCGAAGACGTGTTTGCTGACGTGGCGAATCGCGTGCAGACTAGGGTAAGAGAGGAAATGCTGGGAGCGAGCCTCGACGAACAATGTAGGCGAAATGAGCGAAAGGTCTTCGCCTTTGCGACTTTCCCCCACGCCGGCTTGCAGCGTTTGCGTCTTCATCGTGTTCCCCTGGCGAATTCACATCCGCCCTTCCCCTCCTTCCCCCCTCCCCGCCTCCGCGCATCTGTCTGTGCGCAGGGCCAGGCACCGCGGCAGCCGCGCAAGGCTCGCGGAGGCCATTCGCGCTCCAAGTCCGCCTCTCTCGTCGATGGCGGTACGCGCGGGGGAACCGAACACCCGGAGTGGCATGATGCCGTGATTACCGCCGCGACTCACGGCGCTGGCGCTGGCGGAAAGCACAAGGGCAACCGACCGCGGAGGACGCGCGCAGCGGCGGGAGAAGGGGCGCGCGCGGAGTCTCAGAGCCCGGAAAACGACACGCGACAGGACGGAGCTGTCTACGCCAACGCAATCGTTGCGGGTGTAGCCGCGGAAAGCGGCCTCGAGAGCTCCGCGGGCTGCGGCGCCAGAAGCCTTCCCCACAGCCCCTCGTCCTCCTCCTCCCCCCCGCTCTCCCCTTGCCTTTCCCCTCCCCGCGCCCGTCCCGGCCATCGTCACGCGCGCGGCCTTCCCCCCCGCGTTACGTCGCGTCTGGCGCAAGCGCACGGGCACGGCAGGCGCGCGTCCATAAGCGCGCTCCCCGTGGAGGGGGGAGGGGAGGGAAGTCGGGCGGAGATACGAACAGGCATTGGGGAGCAGCGAAGGGCGGGTTACCAGGTAACGAGCGGAATGTTGTTCGGAATCCCGGATGGTGATAGCAGCGACGGGTCAATGGTGCTGACGTCACCAAAGATTGACATCTCGGATGTGATTGGCTACGACGTGTTCCCTGTGTCGTCATCTGAGGGCGAAGGGGAAGGTAAGGGCGGCAGCCAAGCGTGGGACGAGGAAGGGGAGCGTGGGCGCGGAAAGCATGGGCGGGGGGGAAACGGAAGAAGAGAGCAGACGCGTGGGCGCGCTCAGGCGCAAGCACATGCGCGCGACTCCCGCGAGATTGCTGGTGCCGCCTGCAGGAGCGGCGGGTTCAGCGCGGATAAGGAACTCCCTCACTCTGCTCCCCTCCTGGCGGGCGGCACTGGCGCGGGTGGCACGGGGAGAGAGGCGGGGCAACGAGGGCGGGCGCGGGCAGGAGAGAGGGGGGTGGCGGGGCAGGTGAGGGGGCGGGGGGAGGTTTCAGCTGCGCTGCTGGCGCATCTTCACTGGGAGAACGTGGCGGAGAGTGGGGGGAGGAGGGCGGTGAGGGGAGGGAGGCCAGTGGGGCGCAGTGTATCCGCGGAGGAGGAGGGGGGACCGATCGTGAGAGCCAGAAGGGAGGGTTGGAGTGTGGGAGAGGTGTGGGAAGAGAGAAGGGAGGAGGAGGAGGAGGAGGAGGAGGAGGAGGAGGAGGAGGAGGAGGAGGAGGAGGAGGAGGAGGAGGAGGAGGAGGAGGAGGAGGAGGAGGAGGAGGGGGGGGAGGAGGGACGAGGAGGAGGAAGAGGAGGAGGGAGGGATGAAAGAAGAAGAGGGGGGGGAGCAGCTACAGGCGGAAAGGGATGGGCGGTTGGGGGTGGCGAACGGAGAGGGGGAAGGCGGAGGGGCAGGTGAGGGGGGGAGAGCAGGGAAGGGGCTGGCGAGGGGGAGTGTGGAAGGCAGGCGCAAGGGTAGGCGGGGGAAAGCAGAGGCGCAGGCGAGAGGAGAGGCTGGGGGAAAGGGAGATGGAGATGCGGGCATGGCTGCTGGTGACATGCAGCACGGTAGTAGGGCGGGCGGGGGCAAGGGAGGAAAGGGGAGAAGAGAGGGGAGTGGGGGACGAGGGGGGAGGGGCGAAGCAGGTGGAGAAGATAAGGCAGGAGAGAGTGTGGGCGAGTATGTGCGATCAGCGTCGATGCGATCGGAGGTGTTGCTGCGCTCACCCGACATGCTGGCAGACATGTCCCAGCTGCGCGCGGATAGGGGACCCGGGCGCGCAGCAGTAGCAGGAGGGCCGCTGGGAACAGCAGGAAAAAGGGCAGGAGGCGCAGCAGGGGGAGCAGCAGCAGGGGGAGGAGGTCCGGGAGGGGCTGGGGAGAAGAGCAAGGGGGCGCCGCGGCGGCGCAAGAATTCATTTGTGGATGAGGAGTTTGGGACGATTCTAGAGGAGTTCATGCCGGTGGTGAGCGGTGGGGGGCGTGTGGGAGGGGGTGCATGCCACAGCAAGGCACTGGTGACTGCCCTGGCTGCTGCTGCTGCTACCCCTACACTGCTGCACACACCTAGCGGGAGACTGCTGCCTTCCCCCAGTGGCAGGCTGCTGCACACCCCTAGTGGCCGCCTCGTGCCCAACCCTGCTGCTCCCAGCGACACTGGCAACAGCAGATGAGTGTACAACACAAGACAAGGCGCGATCTGTTATTGAATGGCCAGAGCAAGGCGCTGGTGAATGCCATGTCTGCTGTGCCCGCACTGCTGCACTGCACACTCGCCTGCGGTAGACTGGCTAACACGCCCTCCCAGTGGGAGAATGATGCCTGCCTCGGCTGCTCCTGGCGCCACTGGCAGCGGCACACTGCAGTGAAGGCATGCCTGGGAGGTGGCGAGTGAGAAGGTGGCGAGGTACTGGTTTTTAACTTGAGTTGTCCAGTTACGGTACCATAGCAACCAGGCCCTACGAAGTCAGACTTTTTTCTCTGATTTTCACAAAACTCTGATATTCCATATTTTTTTTCCAGTGTACTCTGTTAAAATCAGACTTTTTTGGGCCCAAACTCTGTAATTTTCAGACTTCTTTTAAGGCTAACTCTGAGAGTTCAGAGTTTTCTGAGAGTGTACTCTGATCATACAGAGTACAAATGCGTCCTTGACTGGTGATTCAGACTTACGGGTCACAACAGATCCACAATGTCAACGCAAAATCGCCTTGACACAGCAAATCCGAGCCTTACAGCACAAGATTTTCGCCCAATCATAGCAAAATCGCTCTGACACAACAGATTTGCGCTGTCAGAGCACAACAATTTTCGACCAATCACAGAAAACTCGCCCTGACATTGCAGATTCGCTCTTTCGCACCACAAGATTCACCCTGACACATATATTCGCCCTGTCAGAGCATGTTTTATCGGAAATCCCCTTAGTGTTGTGTGTTTCGGTAGCAGATGAATGAAACATTGATTACATTCCGATGAAACATTGAATACATTGTTTTTGAATGATCAGACTTGTTTTTTAGGACACTCTGAAATTTCTGCCTTTTTTTTATACCAACTCTGAGATTTTCAGACTAAAATTGTGTACTAGTCTGACGAATCAGACAGGACAAAAACGAATCTGAGGGCCTGATAGCAACATTCTTTTACCATGTTGTGCCTTGTTAATCTACTAATGTCCACAACGGGTACAGGCAGTCACATGATATGCCAAGTGGCATGATACTGTATCAGACAGGCACTTGCATTTGTATGCCGTTTTTTGCTAACTTATAGCGGTATGTCCAGTAACATTTTGTGCCGCACTTGTTAGCCAGGACCATAAGGTGCACTAGAAAACACAGGGGCCTGCATTCACTCCAGGCTTGGCATGGCATGTCCGAGACCTGCACTTGGTTTGTTGGGCTGATTGTATGGAAGGAATCAAGCAATAAACACTGGTAGCATCACAAGAGTCAGTTTGCACGCATGCATTAGAGGTAAACTTGACAGCACCCATGTTTGCTTTACACATCCTCTGCACCTAGCACCTACACTCATAAGGTCCTGACCCATCCTATGGTAAAAATAAAAAAAGCCTATGATCAAAGCAAGCGCTGCACTTGCCTTCTGGTTAGCATCATCCGCTGGAGACCTAAAGAGGGAGAGAGAGAGAGAGAGAGAGAGAGAGAGAGAGAGAGAGAGAGAGAGAGAGAGAGAGAGAGAGAGAGAGAGAGAGAGAGAGAGAGAGAGAGAGAGAGAGAGAGAGAGAGAGAGAGAGAGAGAGAGAGTCTCCTCTCCTTCGCAGACCATCCCCCCTCCCCTTCCGCCTCACACGGCCGTTTTGAACACGATGCATCGCCTCGACTCCGGGAACTCCTTGTTCCCATCTGCAGGATTCAGATTAATCACATTCGTCTCATTATAAGCCAGCTGCAGCGACTGCAGCTTCACGCGCACGCATGCCCCGTCATAGAACCCCAACATGCTCTCCCCATCCGTGGCCCGCCGGTGCAGCCGCCCGATCTGCCCCGTCACGTAAAACATCTCCCTGTAGCTCGCCGGCGCCGACGTGTAATCCACACAGGACAAAATCTGCAGCCGGTTGTGGTCCACCGAATCCACCTCAACAAACTTCCCGGGCGGCAGCTTGTTTGTCTTAAGCGCAGGGCTGATGGCGGAGTCGGGAACAGTGCCGTTGAGGTGGAAGAGGGGCACGGCGGTCTGATGCTGCTCGAAGTAGAAGTCGCAGAGAGACAGGGGGTTGGCCGGACACATCATCTTGCACGGCCCTGTCGGCTTGGGGAACTCCGCGGGGGGAATGGGCGCGGGGGGAGCCTCGGGGGAATCCTCGGGGGGAGACTCGGGGGGAGATTCGGGGGGAGTGTCGTCGGGGGTGTTGGGGGTGGACTGGGGGGTGACTGGCCCGGAGGGGGAGTCGGGGGAAGGTGTGGGCGGGGGCGGGGTGGACGTGCGGGGCGGGGGTGACTGGGTCTTGGTGGTTGCCAGGGGGGGAATGAGTACCTGCGCGTGCGGGGGCGTGGGCGGGAGGTCGGTGGAAGGCACGCCAGGGGAAGAACCGGGAGCACGCGGGGAAGGGGAGGGCTTGGGCGGGGAAGGCGGATGCAAGGTCTGAATCTTCGTCAAGGGGGGACGGTCGGGGATCCCGGGGGAGGAGGGGGAGTCGGGGGAAGGAGGGGAAGAGGGGGAGAGGGAGGGCGGGCTGTCGGCACTCGTCTTGGTAGAGGGCGGGGAGGAGGGCGGAGAGTCTTCCCCTGGCGGGCTGTCGGGGGAAGAAGGCGGAGAACCCGGCGCGCGGGGCGCACCCGGCGCGGAAGGCGGGGATGGCGCCGACGGGCGCACAACGAGATCCCCGGGCGGGGAGCCGACGGCTTGCGCGAAGACGGGCTGGCGGCCGCACGACACGGACTGCGGCGCGACGGGGCCGGTTTTAAAGACGACGCAGCGGCGCGCGTCGGGGTAGTCCTTTTGCAGCGCGTCGCCCGGCGCCGTGTTGACCACCGAGCCGTTGGGCGCCGGAATCTGCGCGTTCACGATCCACAGCTTCACGCACCGCGACTCGAACTTGTCGCGCGGCGAGGACAGCTGCGGGAGGTTGGGGAAAGGAAGACGGGGACGTAGGGGGGTGAGCAACGATAGCAACACTGAGGTCTGGTGCTTGCTCGTTAACGTTTTCGCCTTCTCGGCACGCTGAGAGCACCCGCATGACTCACCGCTCCGAAACGAGCCTACATTTCGTAAGAATGCCGTAAGAACTCTCGGAAATTGCCTGTAACGAGGGAGCAAACGGATTACGTGGGCTTACCGTTTGGAAGGTGCGGACGTGCAGCGTGGATTGCTGCTTGGTGAGGTAGAACTGGTTGTCATCGCCGCGCACGCCGTCCATGGCGCACAAAAACTGCGCCGCGCCGCTGCGATCCACCTCAATTATCTGCTGAATGCGGCTTGACACGAGCGGCGGGCTTATAGCGGTATCGGGTGTGACGTTATCGAGGCGGAACACGGGGACGTCCTCGGGGTGCCCCTCGAAGTAGAAGTCGCACTGGTCCAGCGGCGCCGCGGGGCAGCTCTCCTCCTCGTACGCGCTACTGTCGACCTCTGTTTTGGTGTCACCCATTGCAGTCTTGACGTACTTACTGCCCGATGAGGCGCCACCGCTGCCAGCGGCGTCAGGGTAATCGGCGTCAGCCGCGCCGGCATCAGCATCAGGATCAGCACTGGTATCAGCATCGGCAGCGTCGGCAGCATCGGCATCAGCGTCGGCAGCACCGGTATCAGCGTCGGCATCAGCGTCGGCGTCAGCATCGGCATCAGCGTCGGCATCAGCATCGATATCATCATCGGCAACAGCATCAGCATCACCGCTGGTCATCGATTTCACGCCCGCCAGTTTCAACGCCCCGCTCTCATCGGCGCCATTCGCGGCCTTCGCATCTGTAGCCTTGATACCATCGTCCGCAGCTGTAGCCTTGGCCTCGCCCTTCGTCTCACAATTCGCGTCGGTAGCGTTCCCGTCGGCCTTAGCCTTCGCATCTGTCGCCTTTGCGTCGGTAGCCTTAGCGTCGCCCTTCGCAACTGTCGCCTTTGCGTCGGTAGCCTTCGCGTCGCCCTTCGCAACTGTCGCCTTCGCATCGGTCTCCTTCGCATCGGTCGCCTCGATGTCGCCCGCTTCATCCGCAGCCGCCACGACGCCCTTGGGACTGAGATCCGCTTCGGAGCTCGGAATCTTGACGGATGCTGTTATAGCGGGTACACCTATCTCCTTGCCGGTGACTCTCACGTCGTCAGTAACGAGGATGTCGTTCTCAATATCGCGGACGTCCTGGCCCTCAATCCCAGCGGCTTTAATCACCGTGTTGGGGGTCTCCACGCTCCGCGCCCCGGCATTCTTCTCGCCCGCAGTTTCCGCGGCGCCGTCAGCCTTCTTCTCCGCCGTCTTCGCGACTGGCGGAACCGCTTGCGCCGGGGCCTGCGCTTGGTTGTGCGCGTCCATGCTCTGCAGCTGCGCGAGGTGCGCCATGTGCGCCAGATGCGCCATGTGCGCCACGTGGTGAAAGTGGAAGTACTTATCTCCGTCTTCCTCCGTCAGACTTGACGGATCCGTCTCCGTCAGCATCTGGACATTCTCCTCCGTTAACACCTCCGCTCCTTCCTCGCGCAGCGTCTTCAGGTTCTCGGCCGTCAGCTTCCATCCCTCCGCCTCCAGCTTCGCCTCGTCCGCCGCGCTCAGCCGTGCGGTCGCCTTCTCCGCAGGCGAGGGGGCGGTCTTGGGGGACGACGCGGGGGCGGTCTTGGGGGAAAGCGCGGCGGTGGTTGGGGAGGGCGCGTGCTTTGGCGCGAGTGACGGCTTGGGGGGAAGAGCAGGCTCAGGTGAGCCAGCTGATTTGCCGGAGGCAGAGGGCTTAGGAGCGAGCGCAGGTTTGGGAGCGAGAGCAGGTTTGGGAGCGAGAGCAGGTTTTGGAGCGAGAGCAGGCTCGGGAGCGAGCGCAGGCTTGGGAGCGAGCGCAGGCTTGGGAGCGAGAGCCGGTTTGGGAGCGAGAGAAGGTTTGGGAGCGAGAGCAGGTTTGGGAGCGAGAGCAGGTTTGGGAGCGAGAGCAGGTTTGGGAGCGAGAGCAGGTTTGGGAGCATTAGCCGACTTGGGAGAAGGGGCTGGTCTGGAAGAATAAGCCGATTCATGGGTGGAAGGCGGCTCGGACGAGGGAGCCTTTGCGGACGCGTGGGATAGGAGCAGCAGTAGACACGCGCAGGCCGCGACGACCTGATAACACGTTTCCCCCATGGCGCCTACCTGCTCGGCGCTACGAGGTATCGATCGGTGCGGATGGGTTTGTGAAGCACGCGGTAGCTCTCAGTGCTTGCGGGCAGAGCTCGAGGACCCGCCACTAGGAAGAAGCGCTACTGTATCTCTAGGACGATATCGATGACGTAGCCTCGCAAAGAAACTGAATTTTAGAATATCGTGCTTGGTGACAATGGGGTGAGTCCTGTCTGCTTCACATGGATTGGGTTTGTCTGAGAGGGTGAGGACGCGACGAGAGATGGAAAGGATACTCGGCGAAGAGGTCCCAGCAGGAATTCAAGGACAGAATACTCGGCGACGCGCCGAAATTGAATGAGATCGCAGAGCGAACGCAAAGGGCTTGTGCGGAGCGAGTTACGCCCGCCTGACTCGCCACCTGGTCCATTTGCCCGCCACTGTCTGGTAGCCATGGCGGAGCGACCACCGTTGTTGACTGGGCGCACCTGCAACTGGCAATTGGTTAATACTGGTGTCATCTGGGCGCGCCAGGCAGTCGATGTGAAGGGGTGGGCAGAGGATGGGCTGCCGAGGCGCTGGAAATCAAATTCAAATTACCCGCCACTTTCACAGCGAGCCGCTGAGCGCTTTTGCATGCGATTGGACAGGCCCAATCCCTTCGAAGAGTGTCAGGGGCGTGGGAAGAGATTTCAGTGATACTCGTTGTAAGTTATGTGTACGGTTATTTGTCTTGATTCAAGTTGAGATTACGTCTAGTACTACCATACAAGGATTATTATCAATGGTGATATGTCACACTGTTTCTCAATAATTAGCTTTCAGAGATCACTCGACGGAAAAACAAACATTAATAATTGATGATGTCGAGAATTTTCCATTTTGTAATGACACCAGAGTAAGTAGTGATGGGATACAACATGTTGTGTAGGGGAAAGATTAGAAAAGCTGCATAGTAGCATGCCAATATCCTGCTACAACCCGCAAACAGAGAGGCACCTTACTGAACCAGAAAAGCAGTAAAACTGAACCTGGAACCTTGTTCATGCGACACGGAACAGTTTATTGTCTGTATCACTGCTCTGCTCAGGCTTTCAGTATCACTTTTCCTGCGCACTTTTCCGACGACCATGGTGTTCTTGACATGTTGAAGCGCCTTCAGCTTATTCCATGCAGCCTTAATTCCTTTAGCAGAAGCAATGAGGTCTAACGGGCCTCATGACGGGGCTTTAACTCCGCGATTGAAGTCGTCTCCTCGCGGCTCGTCGCGACCGCGAGATACGGTGACCGGTGCCTCTGTCGTCAGCAGCAGGACTTCCACTAACAGCAGCGCAGTCGTTATTGACGAAAGAGGCGGCTCGAGTGATAGTAGCTTGATAAATGTCGGGGACAGCGGCGACAGCTCCGTTAGCGTCAGCGTCAGGCCGTCAGCAGGTTTAGCCGGTGTGACACGTCATGCCGGCGAAGCATTGGTGGAATTGCAGGTGCGGGAAGGAGGAGATGCCGTCAAACCTGAAATTGACGGCGTCAGTTGCAGTGCCCACGACGATAGTTTGCGCGAGCGAGGGGGAGGAGAGGGGGAAGTGGGGGGTGAGGAGGACGTGCGGCCTTTGATTGAATTACCCGAGAGACACGGGTTAGGGTTTGGTGAG